AAAACTAATGGTTGGAAACAATTGGTGATATGGCTCAAAATCGTTCTCAATGCATAGCTCAGATGCATCTACTCCTTGTGACTTATGATTTCCAATGAAACTATATTGTTCTTCGTTATTACTATTTCTTCCTTCTAGCACCAACTAATTGCGAGGACATCACCTCAAGGTTCAAAAACCACGGTCGAATCGTCTGCGTCTGGAGATCCGTTTTTCGCATCGAATTGTGAACCATTGGAACTCCCTACCGGAACACGTCGCATCAGCGCCATCCGTTGATTCATTCAAGGCGAGATTGGACCTCCTGTGTGTAAGAAATCGAAAGGATTAACACAGGCATATAGCCTACTATCCTAAATAAATTGTAAACTGTACTATACCTTTGTCTCACACCTCTGTTTACTGTCTATATTATGCATTTCTTCTCTTGCTTTGTGCTACATGGAAGGAGTGGGGCGACTTGAACTGCCGAAAATATGTGCAAAGTTCTATGTCGAAAACAGACAGACAGAGACAGTTACTAAAAATCAATAATCCACAGGAGAATTCAGAAATAAGACACCTAGTGATCGTTAGTCTGAATTGCTATCGTGTCCAACAATTATCATATTTCTTGAACTGAGGGTGCCATTCGATTCCGTCGACCGAGAGGTACGATGGCGATGTTTGGCTTTGAAGAGAGAATGCCGAGACCATATATTGCACTGATCAAAGCACTCACACTACTGTAACTCACTCATGCAGCCAGCCGGATGAGAGCTTACGGAGTGTTGTCATCTGTGATGATAACCAATGGTGTCAGCGCTGTCAGGGATGCCTACTGTCCCCATATCTGTGAAGTGGTTGGTGGAGCGTGTTGACCACTCCACTTATTCCCGGGAATCTGCATCAGCCAACGCCAACGGGTTGATCACTGACAAAATCTCAGTACGGATACAGAAGGTTCGTTTCGTATATGCCAATTTACGTCATTCCTGGCTTAGTAAACGTGATATTCAACTGGTTATCAGCCAAAGGGCGTATGCACTGCTCAGCAGTCATTTCGCTCTGTCCTCCTTTATGGGAGTGAGTGAGACATGGTCATTGAAAGTGGACGACACAAAAAGCCTAGCTAGCTGTCTCTGATCATAGGTGTCTGCAATCTACCTCACGTGTTAAGTGCCATAATGAGGTGAGCAATATTGAGGATAGGCGTCAAGAGCTAGGTAACAAGAGAAGGGGAAATCAATCGATGAGGTTGTGAAGTTACATAGATTGAGATTGTTAGGACATATGTTAGGAATGCGAAACTAGCAAACGATCGCCTCCCTCGACAATGGGCAATGTTAGCTAGCTAACATAGGATAGATCAGGTTAGAAAAGAGCTAGTTAGTGGTGGTCAAACGAAAACATGGCTTCATCAGTCGACGAAATCCACAACAGTTAGTTTAAGCCAGCTAGCCACGTAGGAAGGCGTAAACAGCCTGACTGACAGGTTGGAGTCCTCGGCTCGGTAAGAACCGAATCAATGAAGGCTAGAGACAATTGGTGATATGGCTAGAAATCGTTCTCAATGGTTGGCGCAGATGCATTCCATCTTTGTGATTTCTCATATCAAAATAGTACTACATTTGTTTTTCCATACCACTATTTTTTGCGCCTCATGTTTCTGTTTATTATTTGTCCTTCGAATGTCAGTTGACTCTCTTCGGTTGCTTTGTATGTGCTACATGGAGGGCTGGCTGGCTGGATTCAACATAGAACTTGGCACCGAAGTGCAAAAGTTCGAGTTCCCACGTTCCAAATAGCACACAAAGGTAGACAGGAAAAGGAGAGAAGAGAATCAATAGAATTTAGATAAGTATAAGAGTGAAACAGAATGAATGAGTAATGGTAGAAAGGAATATGAAAGATTACAGAGACTGAATACATCTGCGTAAGCCATTGACAACGATTTTGAGTCATGTCACCTATTGTCTCCAGCCATTGATTCTTAGAGTCCCGAGGGCGGTGCCCAACCCAGAAGTCTGCATCTCCCTCTCTATCTGACTCAGTTTAACTGTCAGGGATTTCATGGATTGATGAGGCCATGTTTTTGTTTGGCCACCACTTACTCTTTACCAACCTGCACCTATATCAGCTAGTAATGCCCGTCCGTCGTGGGAGGCGATGGTTAGGCATGCGCAGCACGTAACCTAGCCATCTCAATCTATGTAACTTTATAGCCTCTTCGATTGATTTACCCTCTTTGCCCAACACTCTACGCCTAACGTGAACATTACTTACTTTATCATACCACCTAACGCGAGAAAGAGATCGTAAACATCTGTGGTCAAAAACAGACAATCTTTTCATGTCTTCCGCTCTCAATGGCCACGTCTCACCACCATAGTGAGGGACGGAGCGAACTGCTGAGCAGTATACACGTCCCTTGGTTGACAGCCGGATGTCACGCCTACGCCAGAGATGGTGTAAGTTAGCGAAAGCAGCAGCTCGAGCTTTTTGGATCCGTGCTGAGATTTCGTCACCAATCAATCAATCCGTTGGTGCTGATACAACTTCCCAAATAGATGAAGTGGTCAACATGTTCTATCATTTCACTCCCTATCACTACTAAGCTAGGAGTTGACGTAGTCCAGTCCGCTACATGGAGGGAGAATGGCAACTCGATCTGCTGTATATCGGTGCAAAGTTCTACGTTAAAACCAGTCAGTCAGTGTGCACTGCAGGCCTTTGAGTGGAACCCGAATGAACACAACAAAGAAATGAAGTAAATGTATTTATGCATATATAATATATTCACAACTAAGAGTCATATTAAATTGAATTACAAGTAGAAAATTACTTCATAAATATATAAATGTAATTGTAATATTGTGAATATATATACCAGAGTAATAGTAATAGTAATAAATTTGTAATGAAAGTAATAGAAAAAGAGACATACAAATCCAGAAAGTCACCAGGATACCACACACACACACACAGGTAGGCACACACGCACGCAGGCGCATACATCCAGACGCGTAGATACACTCAAAAAATTGAAGACAGAAGAAGAGGACCTCAAGAACCAGAATACGGAGATATATATATATATATATCATATGAAGTTCATCCCCGCCGTAAACCACGAGACCCATCCATCCATACCCACACGAAGAGAAGGAGAGAGAGAGAGACTCAGGGCAGTGTAGGAACGACGATAGGATAGAAGAGATAACGGCGGCGAGGATGGGGGCGGTGTGTAATGGTTAAATAAGCCTTCGACAACATCTCCACAGTATGCCAGAAAAAAACAGAAGATTATAGTGATTCAGAAGAGAGAGAGAAGAAACAATCCCTACTACTACAACCAATACGATTGTCAAGCAGGTAGGCAGGCAGGCACTTAGAAGTTAAGCCTACTGAATGAAGATAGGTAGTTACTGTCGTCGTCGTCGTCGTTCCACACAAGTAAGGATGAATTTCACTCAGAGAACAATAAAAAAGAATCCGAAAAAAATATTTCCCAATCAAACTAATGTGACAGCACTTCTACGATAACGGCTAACTATTACATAACGAGGTAAAATAGAGAAGATTGACCACGATTGATTGACATAGAAGAAGCAAGGTAGACAGCGAAAAGAGATCAAGAAAGACTGTATATATATGTGTGCGAGAGTTCGTGTATATGTGCGTGTGTCCAGTTCGTACACCGAAAAGGTAGGATAGAGACAACAAGAGCCATTCAATCAATCAATCGATCAATCAGTTAAGCGAGTGAGTGAGTGAGTGCGTCAAAGAATCATGAATGCAGCAAAAAGGCGTTGTTGATCAGCTCAACACACACTAACACTCACACACCGGCAAGGACAAACAAAAATGAACAACAACAACAACAAAGAACCAGGATCAATCAACAAAAAAAGGGATCAAATCCACGACTGAGAACACCGAATACCACCATCACAAACAATATAATGAGCAGAAAGAGGACAGAACCCCGTACCCCGCTGAAACAACCACCAAAAACAGATTGACAACAACAATGCTAGAGAGAAGGTCTAAAATAGAAAACCACCACACTCTCGTCACTATCCATCCCTATCAAAAGAAAATCATTTGAACAACTATACAATAAAAATAATAATGCGAAGAAAAGACATAGGATGAATAAATATCAGTAAATATTTAAGTAGTATGCGTATTAGTAGTATATTACTCACAAGCGAAAATAAAATTCTCCTGGCGTCCGTCCATCCATTTACACAACATACATATCAACTGTTGAAACTGTAGTAACTATGATGACACCACACAAACACACACAGGCACACATACACGCACAAACATACGGCAAAAACAGATAAACAGATCACTTCACAAGAGAGAGAGATAGAGAGAAACAATTACAAAACATATACATTAGTTTTCTCAGCACCACCTCCGATGATGTCTACACAAACAGATACATAGATAGATAGATATTGTGCGTTAAGTGAAAAATAAAGGCGAAGCAAAGAGCTGGGGGTGGCGGGGTAGACAACGAGATAAACACATTCCCCCCCCCCGCATCTCTTAGATTACAATTGATTATCATTATTATGATTGTTATTATTATTACTATTATTTTTAACCCTAGCCAGAAAGTTAGTACAAAGGTAAAGTACAAATCATAAATAATAGTAATAATAATAATTGTGACTAAGTTGACTAGGTTGATGCACAAACGAGCAAAAAATAAAACTTCACAATCAAGAAGTGTCTCACTGTCCAGGAGAAGAAAAAAGCAAGAGAGAGAGATAGATAGATAGAGAGGCGGAGGACGACACCTGAGGAGTAATGAGTGAAAGGAACAAAATAAACGCACACCCAACCACCACCACCTCTAAACATTGAGACAAAAATATGAAAGGCAAAGAGAAATAAAAAGTAAAAAAAATCCCCAGTGATTGTGATAAACACCCCCGAGGCCTGACCCAACCCGCTCCGCCGCCCCTTCAACACACACACAAACACACGAAATGAAAGAATACCCACACCTCTGAGGAGCTTGAGGACTACAGTACTAGTTGACACAGAGCATTCAGATGTCACAAACAGGATCTCAGATACTACTAACACCACTCATATATAAGTAGTGATAGCCTCATATACGTAGGCGTGCGGGGGCGGGGAAAAACCAATACCCATTTTTTAACTAAGAAGAAGTCAGAAAAAAATAAGGAACAAATGGAGAAGAGGCGGAAGAGGAGGAGACGGAGGTGAGGTCAGGTTGGCAGGCGGCAACGACGTCTTGACAAAAATTACACATATACACGCATAAATATTGTAACTATAAGTTGAAGTGAACTGTGATATATATATGTATACGTATAAAATCAAAAGTTATACAATTTCATAAAAGAGATTATTTGATGATTGAGAGTTTTGGGTTAATTTAAGACTATTATTATTACTAGTAGGGATAGTGGTCGTTGCAGTATTAGTAGTATTAGTAGCATTAGCGGTATTATCGCCCATGGGAACACCACCAACAGGATTAGGAGATGTCGACGAGGTTGATGATGATGGCGGCAACGATGGTGTCAATGTTGAATTTTCCAGTGATCCAGTAGTAGAAGTAGTAGTAGTTGCTGTTGTTGTTGAACCCTTCTCATTCATCAAGAAGACATCTTCTTCAGTTAGCTGATGACCATTCATGATTAAATTACTACCGTAACGATTAGTTTGTTGGAGTTGTAGTTGTTGTTGTTGAGAGTGTAGTAGACTAGGGTAGCGTAGACGCCTTGATTGTTGTTGTGGATAAAAACGTCCACTATTTACAGATGGTGAATATGGATTGATTGGCGGGATTTGCTGTTGTTGTTGGAATTGTTGCTGGTGTTGACCGAAATAAGGCGATATAAATGTCCTGTATCTTGTAGGAGCATTATTATTATTAATACTCATCATTGGAAGTAATTGTGGTTGCACCGGGTAGACTATTGAAGGCGATGGTTGAGACTGTAACGGCAATGGTGCTGATGTCGTCTCAAGAGAATCGACCGTTTCACTCGTATTAGAATTAGTCACAGAAGTAACAGCCGTTGTAGGAGTGGGAGTGGTGGTGGCAGTTGTATCAGTCGACTGTACCGGTTCTTCACTTAAGGCATCTTGTGGACCTAACACAGCTAAATGTGTCATCACTACTGATGATGCCCCACGGTTGGCACCTCGATCACGAAAACCACCACCTACACCGCTCCCACCAGCGGGAACAAAATACATTGGAGGCGGCGGTGGTGGTGGTGCTGTCTGATGCAGATGAGGTTGTTGTTGCTGTAGATTGTTAGGCGGACCAGAAAACATCATATTCGACGATGGTATTCCTCCACTGCTTAGTGCTAAAGGAGTGTTGGTGTTGTTATATGCTGTTGGATTAATTCCCATAGTATTAGGATTAGGATAACCGCTACCACCTCCAAGATAAGGAACAAAAGAGTTTGAAGCTGCTGCAGCAGCCGCGGCCGCAGCTAAAGCTGCTGCATGCGCTGCAGCTACAGAGGAAGACTGTTGTATCCGATAGAGTTCAGTTTCTAACAAGCGAGCATAGGTTTTATACCTTTGAACCTAAAATGTAAGAAGAATAATAAGAAGGGAAAAGACAATTAATCAAGCCAAGGGGGATATGTAAATACAACAAAACAAAAAGTACAAATACGGATTTTCCTTGAGTGACTTCTAGTGAGAAATCGTGATCAGTGAGGTTCATCCAGTCAAGTGTGCGAGGATGGATGTCCCACCGATGACATTGGTTAGTGGTCGCGCTCAAATCACAAATTGGTCCCAGTGGCTGAATGGTATACGAGCCAGCTTGCCTTGTAATCGAAAGGTCCTGGGTTCGAATCCCGACGGTGGGTGCGTACTGCCAATGATTCCCAAACTAGGCTGAAACAGCTGGCTGTCCAGTACTCCCCTCAGCTGGTTTTCAATGGTTCTCTAACTTCATGCAATTCTTTCCATTAATAAACTTGAACAAAGCAAGAACAACAATTGTACCAGAAGATAATATGAGCTCATCTTTTATTATTATTTCGAGGATTCTTCTCAACTGGTTACAACCTGAAAGATAAAAATATGAATTACATTAAAGATTTGAACATACTTTTACACGATCACAAGGGGTAAGTAATTGATAGGAAGTAAGAGTAACATTAGTCCGGAATGATTTAACTAATTAAGAGTTACAAACACTGACTGTTTATAGAACAATTAGACAATTAAGCTTGGAAACATAAAAACAGAGTTGCGTATATATATGTGTATAGAAACAAGGTTTAGCTAGACAGAGCATAACAAAACAGTGGATTACGTAACTAAAGAAAATGTTTTATCTAGTAGTCAATAGAAAAAAAGAAGAGAAAAGAACAAGGTAGGGTGAGTCATGTTTAGATGACAGAGAGTAGAGTTTTCCAAACAAGAAAAAGGGTGACTCATAAAAGTTGTGCAGTGCAAGATTCACCACTGTCTCTTTCTGCGTACACATAAATTTGGTTTAAGTCGTTTGATAGTAATTGCTTCAATAAAGCGTAGCAAGCTACGTTTCTTTTGCTTGTTGATTATTTTGAATGACTTCAAGTTGTCTACAATATGACCAGTGTCCAATAGATGACACGCAATCGCACTGTTTAATGCTTGCGGACCTTCCACAGTCTCAGGTTCTTTTTGGTATGCGGACAATAACCCTTCTCTCTGTTCTTCCGGTGTATGTGCTTTGGCACGTACATGTAAATTGGTAGACACAGTTGGAGGTAACATGAGGTGGGTATTTATCCACTTTTGATTGTCTCAAACAACTACTAGTTGTTTGATAACTGATATCAATCCGTGGTCAAACTCATAAAAATAATAAAGGTTTACTCACAAGCTGGTATCAGTTAGAGAACAATTGAAAAACCATCTGGGAGTACTGGACAGTCAGTTGTTTCATCCTGGTTTAGGACTCTCCAGAACTACGCACCCGTAGGGGCTATAACCTAGGACCCTCCGTTTTTATAAGGCAAATCCATAAATCAGCCACTGAAAGCCAATCATCCAATGATCCATTAATTCCAACTTTTGTCAATTCGCAATATACATTAGCGTAACTACCAACCGATGTCATCGGTGGCGAGTGACTGTTCTCTTACCCTGACTTGATGAACCCTATTGGTCACGACCTCTCCCTAGAATTCCAGCTAACTTCTTATACATATGCATGCAGTGCACACTTTGACTGACTGACTGACTGGTTTCAACAAAGAACTTTGAACAGATGTGCAGCAGTTCAAGTCGCCACACTCCCTCTATGTAGCACACAAAGCCAGAGAAGAAAAGAAAAAGAAATGCACAATAGAGACAGTAAACAGGGATATGAGACAGAAGGAATAGTAATACCGAAGAAAAATACAGTTTCATTGGGTATTATAAGTCACAAGGAGTGGATGCATCTGCGCCAGCCAGCCATTGAGCACGACAATTTTGAGCCATATCACCAATTGTCTCCAGCCTTCATTGGTGTTTACCGTCCCGAGGACCCCAACCGGTTAGGAAGTCTACACATTCCCACGTGACTGGCTTAAACTAACTGTTGTCGATATCATTGATTGATGAGGCCATGTTTTGGTTTTACCACACGCCACTAGCTCTTTTACAGTCTGACCCTATGTTAGCTAACACTGCCCTTTGTTGAGGAAGGCGATGACTAGACATGCATAACACATGTTCTAACCATCTCAGTCGATGTAACTTCACTATCTCGTCGATTCATTTCCCCTGCTCACCGCCTAGCACTCGACCGACGCCTAACCTCAATATTGCTCACCCTATTATACCACGCCACCTAACACGGGAGATAGAACGCAGGCACCTATGATGAAAGACAGGTAGCCAACGTTTTCAAGTCTTCCACTCTCAATGGCCATAAAGGATATCACGTCTACTATGCCAGAGACGGTGTAAACTGGCATGCATATGCGAAACGAGCCTTCTGTATCTGTGCTGAGATTTCGTCAGAGAACGACTCGTTGGCGTTGGCTGATGCCGTACCCAGCGTTTGCTATCCAAACGAATCAGCGAACACTTACCTTCATGGTTTTATAAAGGAGAAAGAAGATGCCCCCGCCACAGCTCTATCCTAGAACACTTGATCGAATCCGGACACCAAGCAAACCCACAAAACAACTTCTCAGTTATCTACACAATACGTGGGAATCTTGCCAAAAGAGTACGAATTAAACTTCTTCAAACTGCAGAAGCAATGGCAACTCACATATTGAATCCTGAACTCTGCATACAAAAGAAGTTTGTTCAGTCACTAAATCTACGATGGTCCTGATCTATCTCAACACCAAATACGTAATTTTGTCTTACCTCTTTCTTCTTTGTTTATCCGTTTCTTAATTGCATTATTTTCTACCCCCACCCTCTATTAAATCTCTACCCTCATGACGACTGTTGCTAACTCCATTTTCGTTTATTTTTAAGTGAATTCTACTCAGCTTATCAACTTAACTCTTATTTATTTTCAAGTGAATTCTACTCAGATTATTAACTTGACTCTGATTCATTTTTCTTTGAACCCTAGCAATTAGATTACGTCACCCGACCTACTTTTGTAACTTTATTTTAGTTTCTAACCGATTAACGCCTTCTAAATTACGTAATTTGTTGTCAAAAATTAACAATTGCATTAACACATCTTTGGAAATATTCCTTTTGTTGCCAAGAAAAATTACTATAAATTTGCGGTTTGTACAGCTTGAGAATGATATCGCCGAAAAGAGTAACTCTTTGCTGAACGCCTTTTCTTTTCTATGATGCAACTTCCCAAATAAGTGAAGTAAGTGGTCAACACGCTTCACCAACCACTTCACTGTTGCCTATTTCTAAGCTAGGAGTCAATGTAGTCCAGTTCGGTCTTGTAGCATCGCATGTCAAACATTCGAAGATTGCTGCTCAGCTCAAGGTGTTCAGAAGACTCTACATCATTTTGTCAGCGTCTTCACCTCATCTAGGAGGGGAGACTGCATCATCTTCATATTCTAAGTCAACGGCACTATTATTCCCTGGTCTAGTTGTCTAGCGTGTACCAATAGGGTATAGCAAAAGACACACTCGTCCCACATACACAGATGCAAATCAATGCATAACTAAAGAATATTCTCAATTGTTTTGCCCTCCACAAATATGCACATATATATAACAATAAATTTTAATAATGGATTTACCTGTTCTTATACAACATATCTAAAGACAACACGTCACCTGTCTATTAATTATCATGATTATGACTAGTATTACTATTATTATTATTATTGTTATTCTTAGAAGAAATTACCAGGTGTTAATAGAAGTGGTAATCTGTAGCCATTAGAGAAGCCTAGAACTAGACAGGTAGGTTAGTTAGAAAGTAACTAACTAACTAAAGAACCAACTAAGTCGATATGCTGGCGATTTGATGAAAACTTTAGTAGACATCCCACAGTAGGTAGGGTAGGGTAGGGCAGGTAGGCAACAGACAGACAGATAGACGGACAGACACAGAGGAACCAGCACAAGAAGAACAAGGAAGAAGAAAACAAAACCATGCGGAGGGATAGATAGCGAGTGGCAATCCAGAAATCTCCACACACACACACACATGTCTGAGATTACAGTCAAGTAAAAATCGCTGAAGGTGTAAGAAAGCCTAACCACTAAAAAACAAAACCACCAGCCTATCATCCTATAACAAAATGGTAATGACTATTTTTACCTACCACCACCTGGTGAGAAGAGAAGTACCAGAAATTACCATCTTATGGTAACAAGTATAAAAGTGTATCCGTATCCGTAAACGTATCACTCACTATAAGATCAATTTGTTTTTTTTTTTAATTTTAAACACTTTTAAAGAAATTTTTGTAATGTTTTCTCCACCACCACCCTGGAAAGTGGAAACAACCGAGGGTTAACATTAAAAACTGTACTATACTATACTATAACTACTGATTGACTAATAGATTATGGGATAATTAGTGGTTGTCTACTACTCATATCACTCCGTCTCTGGTGTAGACGTGATATCCGACTAGCTGTCGACCAAAGGGCGGGTGTACTGTACTACTCAGCAATCCGCTTCGTCCTTCTTTATGACTGGCTGCGACACCTGGCCATTGAGAGTAGAAGTCATGAAAAGTCTAGTTGGCTGTCTTCGATCATATGTGCCTGCGTTCTATCTCCCGTGTTACCTGGTGGTATAATAGGGTGAGCAATATTGATGTTAGACAGGGTTCGAAACCAGGATCTTCCGGTTACAAGGCAAGCTGGCTCGTATACCATTTAGCTACAGGACGGAGTTTCCTGTAATTCCAGTGAGAAGTCGTGACCAGTGAGGTCCAACCAGTCAGGTGTGAGGAGGGATTTCCAACCGATGACACTGGTTGGTGCCAGTCGCAGTAAAATCACGAATTGATAGAAGTTAGAATTCATGGACTGGCCATTGAATCATGTCGTGTCCCAGTGGCCAAACTAGAATGAAACGGACGGCTGTCCAGTACTCCCTGCTTGGTTTTTAATGGTTCTCTAAATGACATCAATCCGTGGTCAAA